TTTTTTCTCATACTGGTTGTATCAACATATTTTCTGTCGCTCGGATCGGTGCATAGCATGAGATAAAATTGTGAAGGAAACTGTTAATAGGATACAGTTAATCACATTGATCTGAGCGGCTAAGTACTCAGTTAGTCAAGTGGTTACCTTCGATTAGCCGTCGACTTCAATGTAGCTTGTAGAGTACGGATTTCCAAAGATTTGTTTGAGTTTATATAAAGAAAAATAATGGTGACAATGATGTCAAATGTATAGAAAAATATGGAGAGATGTATCCGAAAACAAAAGAAAGACCCAATGATTCTAATGGAATAGAATATTTTTTTGTATAGATCTACATTTGCAACTCGCCATTGTCGACAGGAGAATCAGCAAAAAAAAATTTGGTGGAAATAGAAATTACTGAGTAACGATATCTCGAAAATATCGACGCGAATAAATGTCTCATAAAATTCAACGACAAAAGTTTCGAAAACATCATAAGCGGCGACGAAAGAGTGCTGTTATGAAAGAGAAGATTTCTCATTCATTGTGTAGTAATCGTACTCATGAAAGTATCGAAAAAGTTCAGAAAAGTCGAATATAAAGAAGGTGAATCAGATTGCGATGAATCTGACGTTAATTCGTCTGAAGATGAAGGTGATACACCTATGGTAGAAGTGAACGGCAAATCCGAATTCAATGCAATGAGAGTGTTTGATATAGTCTCTCCATCATTATCAAATTCATACTTTCGCGTCGAAATTAACGGGAAAGAAAAGTATATTCATAAGCAAACAGCCGGTTGGTTTTTTACGAATTACAAACCACAATTGTCAGCTGATCGATCAAAACGAGCTATACAAAGCAGCGAATGGATGAATGAAAGCTTGAATGTAGTGGTGTTAATTTAACAAATAGATCAGAATTATTGTATTGCTCTTTTTTCTGTTAAAAAAATATAACTAAACTAATCAGCTCTATTGTTCCAGGTTTTTTACACTCATATCTCACTGTGATTGTCTAAACATCTGACGATAAAGAATTCTTTTTTCTTCAATATTTCATTGAAAACAGTGTTGAGTGTTTTTTGGTTTTTAAGCTGTAGAAGGTCATCATAAAACATGATAAATATTTGGAAGAATCAATACTTTAAAATCCTGCGAGTACGAAATCCGCCGTTTCCCCCTTGGACGATATACAGTAGACTACTTGACAAGTTTGAACATTTGCGTGTATCTTCCAACGATAAATCGATTCTTTTCTCTTCTGTCAACGAAATGATACCCTGCCGAATATTTTCATTGAGGAATATCCATTCGTCAAATCCCTTTCAAAATTATCGGAAGTCTGGCAAGATTATTCTAAGCGTATACTTTAGGATTAATCTAACATTTAAACGCCTAGCCGTTCGTCGGCCACTCACGTCTAGCCGCTGCCATGCTGTCTCTGTTATTCCTTTCGCCTTTGATTAACTTTCAAACTGAATGATTGGACTTTCTTTTATTGTCGCTTCGACTATCAAAAGAAAGTACCCAAGACGAGTAATCCGGGCTCCGGATCCCATCGGAACCTATCGGAATACCTACTAATCCGACAGATTCCTTCGGGAATCCGATAACTTCCGACAGCATCCGACAAAATCCGTGTCGGAAATCGTCGGAATCTTTGGTACAGGAATCCGATCGGAAGTTGTCGGATGTCGGATCCGTTGATTTCCGACATCCGGATCCGATAGTAGGATAATCCTGGAACCGACGGGAACCACCGGACTTCTCTTGGGTTCATAAGTGCATTTTTAATTTCCTTTATTAATATTATTTACCGTTTATTTAAACATAATTCTCCTAATACATAAAAGTACTGTTTTGCGATAGAAAAAAATGAAAAACCCTAACAAAAAACTGGTAATTCTAACGATCATTACCATCTTAAATGGTCGAAAAGAATTTACAGTTGTTGTAAAACTAAAATTAACGTACTGTGAAGAAAATTCGAATCTGCAAGAGGTGAAAAATCGCCGAATATATTAATACTAAAAAATAAAGGAAAAACGTGCAGAAAAATGAAACTAACTTTGACAAAAAGAATAATTGTATAGTCAATAAAAAATTTCAACTAATATGATGTATTTGCTTGAATAAAAATTGTATCGAATTGCTCTAGTCTAAAATATAAAAGAAAACACGAACAAAAAAGTTCTATACTTAATTTCCGATTGAAGTGACTACATGTACAGCACTGTACTTATATACATAACGTTCAAACTGACCGTTAGAAGTTCAATCACCAACAAGGATTTTTAATAATAGATGTCGCTTGATCTTCAGATAAAGTCTTATTAAAAATTGGAACTACTTTCCCCTAAAATATTGATCAGTTTTAGTTATGATAAAATTGCTAGAGCTTGAAAGTTGCCAAAGATTTGTCAAGATCATCAATTAACGGAAGTACCATATATAATAATTGTTGTTGTCATATCCTGCTGAATCCGACAAAATCCGACTGTCGGACGTTGTCGGATCCGATAGGTTCCAGCTGGCGGAAATGACAGGATCCTGCCACCGGAATCCTGGCCTTTCCGATGACGGAATACATCGGAAATCGAAGGATATAATATGGAACCCTGTAGTCGGAATCCCGTCGGATCCGACTGTTGGATGATGTTGGATTGTTTAGGGATCCGTTAGGATCCTATGGGGTGATTTCGCCCTGGGTACATATAAGGTGCAGGGACTCACGATGAACAAAATCGTAGTCGATCTTCAAATTCCACTTACGACACTGCAAGCGGCATCAGTATATGTACCACTCAGCAGAGTAAAGAGAACAGAAGATGTAGTTATTCTTCGACCTTTTGATATGAAGGTATTACTAATTCGACCATCTCTTACTCAAGATATTGAACTGAAACGTCTAGATGAACTTGACAGAAAGACAAAACGAGAATGCACTTCTTCTACTATGTGAACTTGTATAAATCGATACTTGGTAAGAGTTTAGGATTTTTTCAAGTTGACATAAAATAATTATTCGTATATGTCCATTTTTCTTACCATTCTTTACATTTATCTTACCTATTGTAGTAATTGTTCTTTTTCTCTTCTTGTAGCAGATATTTCCTATGCTTTCTTACTGCCCTTTTTTATGTAGTAGCTCATAGTCTTCTCAATTGTGTTGACACTGACTTAGAATATCTAATTCTCCATTTAACATTTAGTACAAGTCTCTAATCTACACTGAAAATAAATTAATATACACAATAATTTCTAAAAAATGTAACATCTGAAAGGAATATTTCTACGAGAAAAAGCTGAGCGAGTCGCTAGATGAGCGTTACTTGTATCTGTAGAAGCTGAGGAAATAGAGTGAATTTGGTCGATACCCAGCGGGTAACGAGATGAATATCGACGAATGGTCTTTGAAGAAGTTTATGTTCAAGACCATAGAGTCTAATGGAAACTCTTAATGGTATCAATGACAGTAAGAGCTATCAGAATCTAGAAGGGAATGTAATTCGGTACTTTACGCCTAAGTTGCTGAGCTAGAGTTGATGAGCGTACGAAGTCCTCGTCGAGGCATCACTTGTTGGAGTTGAAGCCCTAAAAGGCTTTTGTCCGTGTATCAAGCTTTTCCCCACATCTTCATGTTGTGCTATGCCTACAAATCGGATTTTCTCTCATATCTAGACCATCAAGATGGTTCAAAAGTATGTAGTTTTGATTTGTGCTAGCGAGATAGTCCGACCAAATTCACTAAAATCCCTCACATCTCAAAAGATACAATTTAGTTATCCTCCTGGGTATCGGGACGTTCAGCTCTGAATACCCAGCGTAATGATATTATGACAGCTATGCAAGATAAATAGGCACAGCGGCTTGTCCCCGTTTTAATCAAGATCTATCAGTAGTACTACATCGAACTCGTTAAGTACTCATGGTGTCTCCTCTCGCTATGTGGATCAATCTCACCTTAGCTTCAACAGCTTGTTTTCAATAGTTTGGTCCCCCTTTGATTTTCGTTTTCCTCCTATTTCTCTCGTCTAACCTACATACATACTACTGGAAATGTTTTTCTCTTTACATATGCTCATGTAGCTTACCATACCCTACCTAGAGGTCGCATGCGCGTCCGAGCGAAGCAACTAAATAAATCATCGTCCAATCAACAAAAAATTATAATATTGCGCTGAATAACTATATTTCATGACCGCAACGGTTATTCATCGGCTCTCTTTTTCGTGGAGAAGACTCTTGTATAGACATAAGTTTTTCTTAGTTTCACTGATTTAATCAATGACTGGTTGTTTAAGATAATTGGTCTGCGAAGGATTCTAAAGTATCATTTCTCCGACATCTCAGAGGTCGTCGTTCTTCTCTCACCTGAGGAGATTTCCAAAACATTTCCAAAAATCAATGAAAACCTTTCGTGTATCTTAAAATATCGTGCAATTATAGACAATCAACAAATACAGTAGATATTTATGCGAGAATTTCCTATCAAAACATAAAATTATAAAGGTCTTATTTCATATCTGAGATTATCTTAATCTCATCTGCTTGACTCTCTTCTTTCTTGTTAAACAATCCATTCGAAATACACATCTTAGTTCCGGTTCGTCTTTGATTTCTCCAAAATGCATAAGTAATTGTCTGGCATGTTCTTCAGCCGAATAGAGAACTTTGGNGATTAATGTTGCGATCGATGACGCGAGAAAATCTTTTGAAATAGAAAGAAAATTAATAAGAATAAATAAGAAATGTGCTGACTTACAAATGGAACAAGAGTTCGAACGAAATTTCTGCTGAGAAAAGAGGAGAATATTGAGAATGGAACCGATTGTACCGAAGACGAATAGAGTTGTTTCAACGTATTGAATAAGAATAGTTTGAGCAAAAGTGAACGAAGCAACTAGATTTGAGGCCATTCGAATGAGAGAATGTAATACTTCAACTAGATGAAACGATCTTCTATCGTTTTTGTAATAATAATAACAGACTCTCCAATTAAATATTTTAAAATAACTCTTCGTTTTGAAATGATGAAAAGGACTGTAACTCGATCATTCAAGCAAAATCAAACCTTTAAAATAAGACCTTTCATGTCACTTAGCATGTCTAAACGAATATATATGTATACGCATTCTGGTCCACTGGAAAGCAAAGGGAATGTCATCAGAGAAAGATCATTCTCTTTTGTCAGTACTGGCACATTCATGCAAATTAAAAGTTGTAGTTCTTCATGCGCATTCAAATGTAAATAAAAGAATCATAACTCGTATATAAATTAATAATATATCTAGATACAAATATAGTGTGTCCAACTGTAACAATGTGTTGCGCATGGATTAATTTAATGGTGTGATCTGTTTAAATACTGAATTAACCTTCGAACTCAAACTCGACATTTCCTTTCATAGCGAATTCTACCGGAAGATTGAAAGAGTGAATATTTATTAGTCAGACTATTGCTATTATTAAAAATACATAGTCAGTTTCCGTAAATATCAGTAGTTTAGTAGAGAAATGTGTGAAATATAAAATGTACTTTAGTTATAGAAGAATACCGCTGTTGTTTGATCTAAGAATGATGTTTTATATTGAAAACAATCAACTTCAATGCGTGAGCAATCTCAGACTAAAGGCATTCAGGATCATAGTCAAAACATATTACAGATTTTTCTTAGTGAACAAAATAGTCAACGAGTGAACCAAAATAGCCGGACTCGTACCTGGCATGTTCAGAGTGACAATTCGACGACGACTGGCATAAGGTATTTGCCATTGAATCTTATTCCACGCTTGATGAGTCTTGTATCATATGGAACACTACGTTTAATAATCACGTAGTTGTGGAACTAACGGAGAACTCGTAATGGTCGACGATCAAGCCTTTAATGAAGATAGTTTTGTGTCTATCCGAACACTGAATATATATTTTCTACAAAGGAAACGAATAATTGACCAAAGATGAGATCAAAAGTTCGGTATTTAAATCAAAGAACAGGTTTTGACTTCATATTTATTTAAATGCATTCCTTATACTTTCTGTATCGATCTTTATTCGCTATTTTTCCAAAACCGCATAATAGATACTGATGAATGCGATCGATTTACATAAAACATTGTACGATCTCTGCACTTATAGCATTAACATTCAAAATCTATTCGTCAACTTTAATTTATTAGAATCCTCGGTAAATGAGTCTATCTACATGTTCCTGCTATCACAGAAGCGCTTGGATAAATTCGTCGTCTATGATGGAACCGCTGATCATGACCACACGTTAGAATTTTCCAAATCAAAATGAATAATTCATTTCGAAATGTTTGTGAAACTAATGTATTCGAATAGAATGTGACACTTGGATGAACAAACACCGTTATTTCTGTAAATAGCTGCAAAAACGCTTCTATCGCTAATCGATCTGCCGATTTGTTCATAACAGATCGAGTAAACGCTAAGTACAGGTTAAACATCATATACGGTAGGGTAAACAGAATAAAGATGAACACTTGTAACACCAACATAGCCAAGATTTGTGCATCACGAACTTCTCTCTTCTTTTGTCTTATCTGAGTTAACTCTTGACGTTGTCGTTTTGCTTGCAAACTCTTCCACAGAACTTTCGTACAGATCACCATAATCAACGGTGGGAGTATCCCACCAACAAGAATAGTGTAAACAGTATGATAAATAGCCGATGCATTAGTTGACATCATACACGAAATATAACCGATTCTTCGAACATCAGTGAAGATCAATATATGAATAGGAATGAGAAGCCACATCATAAATAGTAGTAAAACTATTTTTCGTGCTATTGGCACAGTCGCTAGATGACGAAGACGAGGGTTGGTGGAAGTTAATAAACAACGATCAATACATGCGATCGTTAGTAACCATCGACAGAGCATTGCACTCATTTGCGTTAAATAACCGCGAGCTCTACAGAATCCTTGATTAAATATTGGATTTGGAGTGTTAGTGAGAGCATAGATTTGAGGTATAACACCTGGGAATAGTAAGATTAATGTTGCGATCGATGACGCGAGAAAATCTTTTGAAATAGAAAGAAAATTAATAAGAATAAATAAGAAATGTGCTGACTTACAAATGGAACAAGAGTTCGAACGAAATTTCTGCTGAGAAAAGAGGAGAATATTGAGAATGGAACCGATTGTACCGAAGACGAATAGAGTTGTTTCAACGTATTGAATAAGAATAGTTTGAGCAAAAGCGAATGTGGACACTAAGGAAGACGCCATGCAGTGCGTACAAGAATATAATGCGCGGTAAATATTCTGGTCTGTTTATAAAAAAAATCAAAAATAGATGTTTTTAATTATAGAAGAGGATGGATACATTCAACTTGTCAACAAAAGAAAAGCATTCGATTCGTCATTTTGTTCATTAAATCTCATTAGATTTTCTTTGAAGTAAAACTTTGTATCTGAACACTCGTAGTCTTGTCGATTGATCTTTTTCTTTCTATTTTTGGAGACTTTAATCATAAACTCGTTTACAGTTCATATGTTTGACTTGATTTGTCTTGTCTTTTAATATCGTTTTTCAATGTTTCCTGTTGCTAATATTTATTTCCGTTAAGTAAAGATTTGAAATAAGACATGTTTTTAATTAAAAATAATTTGAGACATAATCTTCAGGGTGTGCATGAATACTGATCTCTTCTTATCACTCATTAGATCTACCTTTCCTATAGTGGATTTGAGTGTTGATATTTCTATTACCAACACGAAGACTAATCCACCCTCGTTTTTCTAATATCAAAATGGGATCTGTCAATTAAAGCTTTTCCAGTTTCAGTTTGAACGATTAACGATATGGTTACAGTGACGTTAAATGTCCACGAATGAGAATGTACGGTGCTCCCCATACTCAATGTTAATTTATTGGAATCATTGGTAAATTATTTGGTCGATGTGTTCTTGTTACTGTAAAAGTACTTGGATGAATTCTTTGTATATGATAAAAACGTTGGCCACAAACGTTAATTAGAATTCCTCGAACAAGAATGAGTAATTCATTTCGAAATGTTTGTGAAGCTAATGTGTTCGAATAGAATGTGAAAGCAGGATAAACAAAAACCACCACTTCTGTGAATAAATTGACGAACGATTCAACTGCTACTCGATCTGATGATTTGTTTGTAACAGAACGAGTGAATGCAAAATAAAGACTCGATGACATATACGGTAAAGTAAATACAAGAAAAATCATAACTTGTAACAATAACATAATTAAGATTTGAATATTCTGAATCTCTTTTCTCTTCTGTCTTATTTGAATTAATTCTTGACGTTGTCGTTTTGCTTGCAAACTTTTCCAGAGAATTTTCGCACAGATCAACATAATCAATGGTGGAAGGATCCCGCCGGCGATGATTGTATAAACATTATGATAAATAGCCATTGTATCTGTTGACATTATACAAATAATATAGCCAAGTTTTCGAACATCAGCAAAGATAAGCACGTGAATAGGAATGAGAATCCAAATGATGCAAAGGAAGAAAACTATTTTTTGGGCTATTGGTACCGTGGTGAAACGACGATGACCAGGATTGGTGGAAGTTAACAAACAACGATCAATACATGCAATTGTTAATAACCATCGGCAAAGCATTGCACTCATTTGAGCTAAGTAAGCTCGAGCTTTACAAAAGTCGCGATTAAATATTGGGCTTGGAGTATATTTGAGAGCATAGATTTGAGGTATAATGCCAACGAAAAGCATGATTATTGTTGAGATCGATGCGGCGAGAAAATCTAACAAGATAAAAACGAACAAAATATTCTAGAAAATTGAATTCTCTTCTCTTACAGATGCAACAAGAATTTGAACGAAATTTTTTTTGAGAAAACAGGAGAATATTTAGTAGTGAACCAACTGTACCAATAATAAATAGAATTAATTCAACATATTGAACAAGAATTGTTTGACTAAAAGTCAATGTAGAAACTAAAGAAGATGCCATACAAATATATGTTGTGTGTAACAAAGTAACACACGCAAAATATTTCTTGTCTGGTTACGAAAGGATCGAAAATAGAATTTTCTCAATTAAATAAGGAGATTATACATTCAATTTGTCAAATGCAACAAAAGTCGTTGCTTCATTACTTACCAATTAAAACTTAGCAGAATTTCTTTTGTCAATGATGTAACTTTTGACAATTGAAATAATTGATTTGCTTTGTTTTTTCCATTTTGAACATAAGTGTTACGATACTTTTCATCTTTATTATTTATTTATATCGAATGTTCATTTCAATTGAGTAAAGATTTGAAACAAGGTATTGGTAATTAAATCCAATTTGATAAAATAAGCGTAGATCATCCAAACACATTCATTGTGTCTCTTTTATGTCATTGAAATGTAAATAATTCTGTTATTAACCGAATTTTCTTCTCTAAATCTTCATTTTAAAATCATTAACATTTTCCTAAACGATTAAAAAGAAGAGGATCAGATAATCTCTTTTGAAAAAGTCAGGAATTCTGGTTGAAATATAAATTTTAAAGATAGTGTTAGTGTTGATCTCTTTTATCAATCTCCAAATCTATTCTCAAACACACTCTTTCACCCATACTTTCTTACACATCCACATCTATAGACTAATTTCACCTTGATGTTTTATCCATGTTGAAAATATGAAAGAGATCATAGTTATATTGACATGTATGTATATCAATCTGTTTGTGTGTGTAGATTTGAGTGTCAATGATGCATTTGTTCTTGATTTTAATGAAGACCTGAATATTGATGTCCCTGTTATCAACGTTTAGATTCATCCTAAAATTTTTAGTTTGATAATTACTTAAAGTAAATAAAAATAAATGATAATATTCGTATTCATTTGAGAATTGTTTATCTTTTTCAAATATTTAACAAACGAGAATTCTTTTTTTTTATACAAAACGACCGTGAAGCAAGTAGAGAAATAACGTGAAGATGACTCAATTGGCTCGTTTACCAACTGAATTGTTTCATGAATTGTTTCAATATCTTTGGGCAAATGAAATCCTTCATTCATTTTCGAATCTGAGCGATCAGATGAATTCAATTCTCGAATCTTATTCATCATACCGAATCAATTTTCAATCCACTCGATATTCCATTTTTCAACGTATTTGCGAACAAATTCAACCGGAACAAGTGATTTCATTGATACTTTCTGATAAAAATGATACACCTCATCTAACAAAGATCTTTTTATCTTACTTTCATATTCAACAGTTCACAAATCTTCGATTACTCTCTTTGATCCAAGTTGAACACGACTCCTTGTGTAAAATATTACCTGAATTATCTAAATTGAAACGATTGCATTCTCTTTCGTTTGATAATTCTAGTGGAAAGGGAAAATTCGTTGACTTTACAGATACAAATACGAAAATCTATTCACTTTTACCAAAATCTTCTTCAGAAACGATTCTTCAATTAAAATATTTGTGTACAACGTATTCGGATGCATTAACATCAATGAATTTTCCAAATCTACTTCAGTTAAGACTGAATTGTCATTCATTACATCCATTAAATGCAATTCTTCAACAAGCACCACAATTGAAATCTCTTACACTTTTTCTCGATGTTTTCAGGGATCTTTACGCATTCCAACCCTGTTATTCATTAAGAAAACTTATTCTAATAGTTAAACGTAAGTCAAACAGACATTTTCTCGCGATCTATTTTGTATAATTCCTAGATGCACATATGTCAATTGATTTAATTGGACAATTTCTAGAAAAATTTTCCAATGTAACACATTTTGAACTAAAAAATATATTTGGTTTTGCTCATAGAAGTTTAATTGATGGATTTCAATGGGAAAGAATTGCCCAATCCTTTTCAATATTTAATTTCAAATTTCATATGAAAGATACATTAACTGAAAGAAACTTAGATTCTTTTCGTACACGATTTTGGATTGAAGAGAAACATTGGTTTGTTGTTTGTCAGCATAACTATTTGTTCACTGTTTCTCTTTCTGATTTTGGTTTACCATACATCGGTTTAACTTGTATGAAGTCTTTGTATTCGACAATACCGAATAACGCGATTCTCTATCATCCTAAATATTTAATATTTCATCGACGGCCGTCCAATACTCAATTTTGTTTCACAACGATACAAAATCTTCAACCTATCTGGCTTGGCTCAGTTCAACTATTATCATCTATTATTGATTTGAATCAAATTCAATATCTAACGATTATTCCTCCTGTTTTTTCGTTATTCAAAAATATTTCATCTCATATGCCGAAACTTCATACGTTACGTTTTGAAGGAAATCAAGTCGATATAGATGTGCCAGAACAAAGTTCTTTATCAGGTTTACAATTGAAACAAATCCATACATTACAATTTCATATAGCAAAAGATTCAAAGAAAAGTATTTACGATCTTCAAATGATAAGTTATTCATTTCCATTAGTTGAACATATAAGTACATGGCCTGTTAAATCAAGATCAGATATTATTTATATTATTGGTTTATTCAAACAATTATCAAGTATATCATTTGTTATTCATCAATCAATCGACAAGATAAAAAGATATTCGGAATTTGATTCACAATTGATTCTTAATGATATCGAAAAATATCTTCATTGTTCGGCAATGTGTCGAATTGATTTTATATCAGAAAATGATCGCACACCTGATCTTCTTCATTTTTGGCTTTGTGAACGAGTAAGATGATTTGAACCATATTGATTTCGATTCCTTAGTTTTGTTTTCTCATAGTCGCTGAATGAAATTTTGTTCAATGATGAAAAACGATCTCGATTTAAGTATTTTTGGTATAAAATCAAAAACTTATTTGGAATTGGTAGGAAAACTCGAACGGTTATGTGTTTTATGGGTGTTACGGCTATGTATACGAATCTTTTGTTTAATAAAGTGGTATTTTCTTCGTTACCCGCTAAAGTTTTCTGGCTGCTTCTTCGTATCATAGTTACTTATATCATTTCTTGTATTGTGACACATAAAATTCTTGTTAATATCAAATCAACTATTATCTTTTTTACAATAACCTTCATTATATTGATTTTTCAATGGCTTTCAAATAAAAATTTTTATATTTTTACTTAGTTTTGCGATTGATTTTTTGGGAGTGACGATGATGATGTAGATGAGAATGGGATTGACGAAAAAGATCTGTTACATTCATCCTCACCCTATTGTCGAATTCTGTTTTCAAGTAAGTTCAATAGTTTATCTTTATATTCTCGATTATGATCACATTCATGTTCCCATTCGATCAAAGTGACACCAGGTGAACTATGTTTTCCTCTTTTACAACCGCCCATTGAATTGCCAACTTGCATAGTTTGATTACAACATATGTATTTAAAACGTACTTTTTCACGTTCTAATCGTTCTTTATCTTCTGCTGGTAAAGAACCTTTTAATGCCATCTGTATAGCAGCTGCTTCTTCTTTCAGTAATTGTTCTACTGCAGCTCGTTGACCCCATTGTTCAAGTGTCAATGAATGATTATCATAGACAAATCCGTCATGATGTGCACAAACACCCATCTTATTGTCTTGTTCTATATAATAATCATTACATTGAACACATTTAATTCGTTCATCAGCACGACGTATTTCAGCTTGTTCTTCATCAATTTCACTTTGTGCACGTGTAAATTGAACATCATCGCAAAATTGACGAAGAAGAAATGGATCACGAATAACCATGACAGTCCATTTCTCAGTACTAATTATATCATTACTATCGTCGTTAGTAGTATCCGACGATATCGTTGAAGATTCAACATATGCACTTTGAAATTTATCTTTTACGTAAGTGTAAACATTTTGATTGATTAGAGAAAAATTAGTGGATCGACCCATTGAAGAATTTCCTTCACTTCTATTTACACCAATTAACGAATCTAAATCGTAAACAATCATTGAACGACGATAAGCGGCACATTCATCGAAACGTTCTTTTAAAACTTCGAATTTGTCTTTTTCATCATAAGCACTCTCTGTCGTAAGTAAATTGAGATCGATTAACTGAAATAATTGTACATTACGTGATTTTCCATAGGCAGTCAAACGTTCAAGTAACTCTTGTAGATTAGTTTCTGAATCGAGTAGATCTTCTTGATTGACGATTTTTTCATGTTCACCCGAACCATCATGTGTAAATATGGTTTCAATGTCAATACGACGTGCATGCAGATTAACAAGAATCTTGCCAGTATATAACGATCTGGGTTTATCTGGTAAGTTATTAAATCGTGATTTTAATTGTTGATCATCTTCTAGTAATTGATCGTCATGGAGAGTACGCAATAAAAGAGTTGGTAAGGTTTCTGCTCCGATAAAAATACGAAATTGTCTTGCTGTTGTGTCTGCTATTTGAAGCATTGTACGATAGTCAAGTTGATAACGAGGATTAATACGTTCTTTATCAATACAATACACCGTAATTTCTCGACGAAGTGCACTACAATAAAAGATATCGTTTACCAATCATTTCATTGATGATGCTAATATGATTGCAGCTCCACTGAAATTAGTTGTAGCCATAGTCAAGTGTTCTAGTAGCTGTGGTGATACATGCCAAGATTTCATTTGACTTAACATATTCTTTCGAGCACGAGATGATGGTCGTCCAACAAAGTATTTTCCGTTCATACGTCGTAAAAATGCTTCATCCATCATATGTAAACGATTTGTGGCACAGAAAATCATCAGATTAGGAACATCTTTGATACCATCAATAACTGATAATAGAACACTAAGTTTTGATACATTCACATCACTTGAATCATCTGTACGTTTCGGTGCCAAT